AGACAGAGAGGGAAACAGGGGAGACTCGGGCTCGAGGGTTGGCCCTGCAGGAGGCAGTGCAGCATGTTGTGCTTGACGATTTGAAGGAATTCGCCGACGAGGTTTGCGTTTTGCACTGGTTGGGTGTCAAACAGGTTTCCTTCTGAACGTTTGTGCGGGTTTGGTTCTCTTCAATGCCAAATGCTAGGTTAGAAAAGTTGAGATGAACAACTAGACAGTTTTTGATCAGTGGTGTGCAATTTCCCCAACTTGCTTTCAAGTATCGTGGGCATGTGGTCACCGAATCATCTTGGGATTCACCGGAGTGACCGCGGGGCGCTTCAGGTTTGATCCCCTGTGACGAGTCCAACTTGTGTTTGCCGACGTTATTTGGGTCCAATTTAGGTCCATTTCGGTGTTGTGTGTAGGACAACAGGTCAAGTTTTTTGTGTTGAACTATACTTCTTCAACAAGTGGTTGGTTTTGGTAAAATCGTCAACCACTGGTAGAGTTTTTTTTTTACAGAAAGTGCGTATTAATGCAGTTCACTGAGCCATCACAGGGGTTTGCGCAACCCGCTTTGACAGGAACAATGGTCCGATGCTGAAATTCAAGAATTGTGGGACCACGTGGAGGACAAGAAGGATGGGAGTGCGCCCACAGAATTGGGATCGGTTGTACAGTTTTGCTGAACATATATTGCTGTGATTGTTTTGTTGTGTCTAGATGTTTGTGCGTGGGCTAGAACTTTGAGATTGGTTAACGTCAGCATTGGTGGCTGAAGGGTCCATGTTGTGACCAACGGACATATATACGGGTTCGGGTTTAGTTTGTCGTCGGATCTTCCTCCCTGATGTGCTAGCTAGAGGTTGCGTTTTCTTGGTTGGCAGTTGGCAAACTCCGAAACAAAGATGTGTCACCAGACATACTGAAATTTGCCCAAGACTATAACTTTAACCAGTCTCCGAATCTCGAAGAGTGTGCTGTCAACCTCAAGCGTTGGCCACAAAGCATTTTTCCAACCCCCCATAAAGCAAGCCTTTGAAGCAGGTAGGTTTGCGCAGAAGTTGATGTTGCCGAATTCTTTTGCTCTAGCAGCGGCATGGACTGATTTAAACATGCACGGGGCAGCCCTTCACTTTCATCCCGAGAAGAACTCTGGTTTGGATGTCAAAGATGTAGAGAATAGTGTCGACCACAATGTGTTTAGGAGATGTCAATGTACGCAAAGCCCGTGAAACATTTAGACATTTCAAGTCTGCCGCAAGCTCAGGAAGTCCAGGAAGATTAAGGGTTTGATTTTTGGCCTGCACACCATTTTGCCTGCCAAGATCGGCCAAGGAAATGCCGGCAAGCAAATTGACAATGTCGGGTTGATCGCCAGTGGTTTGTCCCGAGTTTCACTCAGACCAACATTATGCGGTCATTTTTTTGGAATGTTTTTCAGCTCGTATCGACTTGTAATCCCGAAGAGGACTTGCAGTCAAAATTTGGAACCTCGCCTTTAGCCGATCAATGAACGTGTCCCTGGTCATCTGAAGCTGCGCATGTAGAGCATGACACCATGATGCTCGATTTCCTGATTGGCCCAGTCCGCAGCTCTAAACTTAGCCTTGGACCATAAGAAACCACGAGAAACCATGTTTGACTGCCACTTTTGCCTTCTTTTGAAGGATTGACACTGGTGGCAGGTAGACGAGCAGATCCTACTAGCTCGAGCAGCTTGGAAAATAGCAGGCTCATGCTAATGCCAGCGATAGAACGGAACCAAGTCAAAGCTTAACAAACATTTGCCCACAACTCCGTGACGAAGTGGAATCGACTTGAAGCTCGATTCATTGCCCATATTTTACGACTAATTATATGTTAGTTCCAAAAGGCAACTACCAAAACGGAGCATGCAGGCTGACTCCTTTTTGTCGGTGATGGGCTGCCTCGTTTCTCGTCGGCAGATCACCCCGAGAGGTGCCAAGGTTCACCTGGCTTTCCTCCTGGGGCGGGTGGGAGGGCCTAAAGTGGTAGGAAGGCATCAAAATTCTTGAGCCAGAAGTGAAGCCAAATTCCACTAACCCTACATTCTACCGAAAAACCGAGTTAGTTCCAAAAGGCAACTACCAAAACGGAGCATGCAGGCTGACTCCTTTTTGTCGATGATGGGCTGCCTCGTTTCTCGTCGGCAGATCACCCCGAGAGGTGCCAAGGTTCACCTGGCTTTCCTCCCGTTGAACTAGTCAAAACAATGGAGTATATATTGCCATGAAGAAATGAATTATTATAAGCTCAAAAATTCCCCTCTCTCAGATGTTCTTTTTCTCCGCGAGTCATCGCTAGCGGAGTCTTGTGCTCTTCATCTGTGAGCAGGGTTGCGGTACCACTGCGCATAGTCCCCTTCTGGCGGATCGCCGGAATTCTCGGGTTTCCACGTTCCCCAACTTTCGTCATCTTGTGGGTCTCCCCGAGGTGGGTCGGCTTGCCAGCGATATCCCCCACGGTGGTAGTCC